AGAAAAAGCATTAAAACTGAATGACAGTACTTAACTTTAGGAACATAAATTAAACCCAAAACAAGCAAGATTCATAGGTTTAACAGTATCCCTACTGAATGAAAAGAACCTCCATCCTTTTACAACAAGTTTACCAGATGAGATGCAATGAAAGGATATTGCTGAAGAAGCTGAGTTACATGTTTTTAAAACCAAAATGCTGTAACATTCATCCTTATCTGGGAAATGGGAACAGAATTTGTTTGTATTCTATCACTCATTTAAAAAAACAAAAACAAAACAAAAAAAAACACACACACTCCTCACATTTAATATTTTAAAATTTCATCAAATTTGAGAGTCTTGAAAAAAGGAGGCCACGCTAGGTGAACAAGCTAGTTTTGAATAGGGAAGTCATTACCCCTTATTTAAAAAAATCACATTTTCAGAGAAGGAGAAAACCTCCCCTTATTTCCTCTCCATTCTTTATCTAACAAAATACCGTAACACACTTGGTGCAGTGGTTAAAGCACTCATCTGTCAACGGAAATGTTGGCAGTTTGAACGTACCAGCTGCTCCATGGCAGAAAGGTGTGGCAATCTGCTCCTATAAAGACTGTTGTTGTTGTTATGTGCTGTCGAGTCAGACCCAACTTATAGTGACTCCTGCTTGGGTTTCCGAAGCGGTATCACTACGGATTTAGATTGCCCAACCTTCCAAGCAGTGGCTGGTGGGTTTGAACCGCCAGCCTTCTGGTTAGCAGTCAAGTGCTTTAGGCACTATGCTACAACCCTATGGGGCAATTCTACTGTCCAACAGGGTAGCCATGAGTAGAATCCATTTGACAGCAATGAGTTTTTAATTTTAATACATATAAATTTATGTTTGCCTTTCACTTTTTCATCCAGTCAAGCATCTCATATTTTAAGAAGTGGAACTCTGGGAACCTCCTAAAAACATTCCAGTTACTCATGAAGTCAGAACCACTCCTGAAAAGGAGGCAAGAATTAAGCAGTGCCGTTCCTTTTCAACTGTACTACAAAGCATGGTATAAATAATTTGGGATCAATTTAAAGAAATCATTAACCTATTATTAAAAATACCAGACCATCGTACTGAGGGAATGGACTTAAAATTTCTAGATTTAGTTTTAAACAAATTTAAGGGTAAAAAGAAAATAAGATAGGTAAAATGATTTTTTTTTTTTAAACAAGCTTAACTTCTATTCCCTTTAATTTGTACAAAGGGCACTAAAATGTTTTGAAATCCAAAGCCTAATTTTAGTTAAATCTGTGTATAGTAAACATCTCATTACTTTTATGAACATGACACACAAAACCACAGTTCTAGTGCTAAACTAACTCCAAGTCTCCAAAGGACATTGTCACTCCACTCACGTTTCTATTAACTTGATGAACATGGTAAAACCATTCTCCAGGACCTTTGAAAAGGCCTCATTCTTTATATCCTACTGCTGACCTATGTAGACCATATTTTCCTTCCTTAAATACTTCAAGGGCTCCCTGCTGCTTTGTGTATCAGTCTCTCTGGTCTTTTTCATTATGTCACTCCCACAATGAAAAGATCCATAGATGGCTCCTTACTGCACATTACATTAAAAGTCCAAATACCTAAATCTAGGATTCAAAGCCCTCCATTAACTGACTGCATATCTGGTTAAATCTAACGCTATTACAAGCACAAACTCTTTACTGTGACACCTGTAAAAGTAATATCCCTTTCCCTAGATCCAGTAAAAGTTTTACATCCTAGGTGAAGCTTTCCCTTTCACTTATGTCACAAAACTACTCAGCTCCATTATCTGAATTCCTTAAATAATTTCATCATATAATCTAGCACTTGATCATATACTTACTTTTACCCAGATCTGAGTTGTCAGTCACCTCAAATTAGACTGCAAATTCTCTTGCCCTCAAGAAGGAGCCAAGAAAAATCTAGCCCTTTACTAAAAAGCAACAGATATTGAGCTTCACCTCAGGCAGAAGGTAATTTTGGTTGGTTATTGATTAGGGCCAATTATAACAATTTTATTTCCTTAAGTTCTTTCATTCTAGTTCTTTCAAACGAAAGGGTCTTTAATCTATAATGAAAAAATTAAGGTTCAGCCACTGCTGTTAGAAAAATCCATTAATGACTGTAAGGCACTGAAGTACAGTGTGCTCTTTAAAAACAAGAAAATCCCAACATATACACAGAGTAATGGACAGGGACTTGAATGTCTGATTTTTGGCTGCACTGTCATCTGGATCTACAGTTAATCTTTAAAATAGCTAACAGTACTCCAGCTCTTGCAGATTTTTGTGAGCAGTAAATTAGAAAATACCTCAAAGATTTTTTGGGGAGTAGATTCTAAAATGCTATAAAAGTAGGAGCTATTAGAATCTGTCCTGTGTCTGTGTTTAATATGTTCCATAGCCTCTAGTAAGTTACCATCTAAGTATCTTTTTACGAAAATGGAGTTAATATTTATTCTGTATATAAAGCAAGTGAAATCTCACTTTAAAGTATTAGAAACATTCTTCTCACTAACTTCCTACAAGGGAAAACATGTATTTAATGCAAAAGCTAAATTTAAAGCACTCTACAAATGTTTCTGATAATTTTGAATTCCAACCTGTCAATGTTTTCCCCAATTTAGTCTAAGTTTGAAGTACACCAACTACTTAAAACACCTCAACACACATCATATGAAAATTCATTTTTGAGCCTAAATGGTTATTAAATTTAAAGGAGATACAAAACAAGAACACAGCAATCATGATATATAAAAAGTTTTTAATTGCTGTTTTGGTTAGGAGATAAAAGGTCACTGTAGTTTCAAAACCAGAAATAGCAAATATTAAACTGCTTTAACAATTAAAGAAAAAAAAGAGTACTACACTCCCAGAAAACCTTCTGGTGGTCTTCTAATTCTTTACCCAGTTACAAGAAAATATGCTCACCCTTAAAAAACAAACAAAACAACAGGTGAGCCCTAAAAGAATTATTAAGTCTACTGAGTTCATTTACTAAAACACACTTGGTTATCACTTGTGAAAAAATATTTTCTATGACTAAAAATGGCCAAACAAGGAAAAAAAATCACTAAAACCTTTTTTCCTATTAAATAAGCTGTTAATGCCTACATACATTTTTTGGGTAAAGTTGGGTGGGACTCTAACGTTGCTCTCCCTCCTATGTGGGTAAGGTGATAAATACTTGGAATTTACACCCCCTGGCCCCCAGCCTGGTAACATATTTTAAAAATTTAGTATTAAATTTTAAAAAAGGAGAAACAGGACCCCAAAGAGTAGTTCCCCACAAATAAAATCAAACCAAACATGAACCCCACCCCCAATTTATTTTTTTTTAAAGTTAATCTAAGGAAAAGAAAGAACGCCCAGCAAAATTTCTTCTCACAACTACATTTTCAAAACAAGTGGCAGCTTACAATTACCACCAAATATTTTCATTGCATGATTTAAGTAAGTTTTGTTGGTACAATCAATACACCATTCTTAAAAATAAGCAGTTTCAACCACTCATTGATATCCAGGCCCAAAATTTTATATTAAAAAATCCAATCGTAAAGGAATTAAAAGTAGTTTTGTTTTTCATCTATTGTTTTAGCTCTTTAACTTCAAAAACAACAGAAGCCTAAAGTGGCCTCTGATTTGATTGTCTGGTCCAGGTGTTTAAATATATTGTGAGCTTCCACAAAAGCCAAAATCCATTCCCTCCAGCTGTCTTTATAAAGTGCTTCCTCTAGTGACTAAAACAAATACCAACACAACAGCCGGAACGTGTTGTGTTGCCTGGGGATTTTGTTTTCTTCCCAGGGTTCTGCACTCACTTCTACCAAACAAGGACTACTAAGATAATTTTGGGAATTTAACTCAAATACTGATAAATGTTCTAGTACATTTAAACTAGAAATACTATCGTATTTTTTGTGAGGTTTATATTTATCTGACCCAAAATAATGAAAATCTTCCGAGCCCTCTTCCCTGGGGGTGGGGGTGGGGGTCGGGAGGTGAAGCAATGAGAGAAATACAAAGGGCATATAATTTTCACTAATATTTAGAAAACAAAATAACCTGGTCACTTTCAAAACAATGACCCATGAAATTCGTTCAGTTATGTAAGATTAAAGTAAGATTGAAGATTCCCCTCCCCCACTTTTTTTTTCACACCATAAAAACCTGTAAAGCAGTGGTCAGATTTTACATGAAAGGTCATAGAAAGAAAAGAATCTTGAGATAGAGACAAAACACCCAGCATCATGGAATTAGAAAAATCAGGCGTTATGGCATTTAAGTGACAGAAAAGCAAAAGGGACATTAAGGGAAAAGGGCTCCTTGCGTAGTTTTCCCCTCACACAGCTCTCAAGAACTCTTAAGGATCGGTGCGGTCGTTGACTAACCACTTCATTAGGCTCGTCCCACCTTCAACCTCAAGGCTTTCGCCTTTATAGACGCAACGCCGCCGGTTCCAACAGAGACGCGGCCGCTCACTGCAATAGAGAGCCAAGGAGACACAGGCCCCAGCTAGTCCCACGCCAGCTTCTCCCGCCCGGACAACAGCCCCGCGCACTTTCGACCCGAGACCCTGTACGATGTTCGGGGTCGCCAGAAATGCCACCGAAGGAAACACCAACCACTATCTAGCCTGAGGGAACTACCTGCCGCCTCCTCCCGCCCCATCGCGACAGGGGACCCACACCTCGGAACAGCAGTAAGGACGCTTCAGTCCTGGGGAAAAGGGAGGGAACAGTGAGGATAGAAAATCGGACTCAGGAGTCCAGGTATCACGGTCTCCAAAAAAGGGGGAGGGGTTATCCGCAGTGTTTGGGGAAGGAGTGAAACCTAGAAGCCATCTTGGGATGTGAGGGAGCAACCGCGACGGTTCTCGAGGTTGTTCCCGACAGGACTTCCCACAAGCCCGCCCGACTGCACTCGTCCCCACGAAACCCTGAGCATCGGGCCGCCGCCGAAGACGGCTCCCGCGGCTTTGTACTCACTCTGCCCTCGAAGTTGTTTTCCTCTACATCACTCATGTCGGCCAGGCGTTCTCCAGAACTAAATACGAGACAGGTCTCGGCTTAAGGGCCGATGGCCTAATCAACCCACTGACTGGACCGTGGGGTGGAGGACAGAGTCGGCAACAACGGCCGCTCCACTCCACTCCCACTCGGTCACAGGCTCCAGCAAAATGGCGCCGGCACCGCCAGACCTTTCTGGCTTTCTTAGTGCGCGACGCAAGGAGCGGCCGCCTCTGTGACGTCACGAGGCCCCTCCTCCCATGAGGCTTTGTGTGCGTTCTGGCTTAGCACAAAAGGTAACCATGTGTTCTGAGCCCCAGCTCTGGAGTTGTTTCCCTAGCACTGACCTCCAAAGCTCAAGTGCGTTTTTTGCGCGTCAACCCCTTTTAGATTTTGTGGTCACCAGATGATTTCTTGTTGACCTTGGTTGGCGCTTTTTAACATTTTCCCAGTGGATACTGTTATAAGATAACAGAAAAGGCTGGAAGCTTAAAAGTATGTAATTAATAGACTTTCGTATTTGTTGTCAGTAATCCTTTTTTTCTTCAACATTTGTCTTTTGTAATGTTAACGGCCAGAAGGAGAAACAAATCTGTCTTGGAAGAAGTACAGCCAGAATGTTCTTTAGAAGCGAGGATGGCGAGACTTCGTCTTGCTTAGTTTGTCATGTTTTCAGGAGGGACCAATTCCTGGAGAAAGACATCATGCTTGGTAAAGTCGAATGCTAAAAAGAAGAAGACTCTCAAGACATGGATTGACCCAAAGGCTGAACAGTGGGCTCAAACACCTACTATTGTGAGGATGGCACAGAACCAAGCAGTGTTTATTCTGTTATACGTAAGGTCGTTCTGAGTCAAAACTGACTTGAGGGCACCTAACGACAAGAGCAATGTTAATGAGGCAATGCATGCATCCCAAACCAAAACAGTTGCCATGGAATCATTCATGGCTACCCATTATATGTGTCAGAGTAGAAAATCCATAGGATTTTCAATGGCAATTTTTCTGAAGTGAATTGCCAGGCCTTTCTTTGGAAGAGCCTCTGAGTGGACTGGCCCCTCCAGTCTTTCGATTAGCAGCCGGCTTGTTTGCGTTTGCATTATCCTGGAACTTACTATAAGGAGCTCTGGTGGCCTAGTGGGCTGCTAACCCACAGATCCCACCAGCTGCTGTAGGAGAGAAAGATGAGGCTTCTATAAAGATTTACAGCCTTAGAAACCCTATGAGGCAGTTCTACTCTGTCCTAAAGGGTCACTATGAGTTGGAATTGACCTGATGGATGTGGATTTGTTTTTTTGTTTTGGGACTAATAGGTGCATACCTTATAATGAAAATTCAAGAGTCCTTGCCTTACCTCTTCCTGCCTCCAGTCCCTCTGCCTCGACAACCATGTCAATTTTTATTTCTAAAATAATGCTTAGCTCCCGACTAGCCTTCTTAATGTAGGCATTTCTTTACAGCTTCATAACCAAGACCTTCCAAAATCTGTGCATTTGGTTCCTAATTATTATGGTAATAATTTACAAGTGATTTTGACCTTGTACAATGCAACTTAAAAATTTGTTTCCTCTTTAAAAAATTTCCCCACAGTACCTTGTGATTAAATGACTCACATGGACTTTCAGCAACAGTTCTATGTTAGGAAAGTTAATTCAATATTATCGGGAAGATTGCTATCCCTGGGCAAGATTTCTAAGTTTAACTGTGCTATTGATAGAGCTGAATAAACATAAGACTTTTCAAAAAGATACTGAACTTTTTTTAATGAAGTTGATACCCTTTTAACTTCCCAATCAATTTTAGCATCGTCATCAAAGTGGAGCTCCAGATATACATGCTATACCTTATGATATCATCGCATACATGATCTATGTGATGCAGTAGAAAATACAGTTTCCTTTGAAGTGTGCTTGATCCCGCCAAATTAAATTCAAATTTAATCAAGGCTCAGATTTAATCAATAGTTTACAGGAAGTACTGGGAATAGCGGGAAAAATTTAAACAAAACACGAAGAGGAAGTAACAAATGTCCACAAGACTACTTCATTTCCACAGACAATAAATAAATAAATAGATAGATAGATAGAAGAGGGCAGTGGGTGGACTATTACAGACTAAGGGAGCTCTGGTAGCATAGTGCCTAAGGCATTTGACTGCTAACCAGAAGGCTGGCTGTTCAAACCCACCAGCCGCTCCTAGGAAGGAAGATG